TGCGCTCCTCACCATGGCGTTTTTTTGCAGAGAGGTTTGGTTTCGGTCCTACGGTTGATGATAGAAATCCTGCATTACCCATAATAAGTTGAATATACCATAACTCCCATAGTCTAGGGTCCTTAAGGTTAATGCAGGATTTATATTGTTAACCGTATCAAGGCTCTAGAAGGGCTTCATGAAGGCTCTGCAAGGAGTGTTTGCCTCAGCATGATTTAGGGTTTCGGATTAAGGGCTGGGGCTGGGGGGGCTTATGCTCCAGGGTGCAGGGCCCCATTGAGATGCTTGGGTCTTAGGTCAGTGCATATTTTACACATATCGCTTGAACTGTATCTCGGACCCGAAGCAAATGATAGTCAGGGTTCTAGCAAAACGACCAAGGATCTTCAAACGTGTTCAAAACACTGGCTTTTCTCTGTGCTTGATCATTTCAATGCTCTTGGGCTTGGGGTTTTGGGACCCGGCGTGAGGCCTTGCCTTCCGCAGTAGCCCCGCAACCCTGACCCTCAACCCAACAAACCCAGGCCCCCACAGTGCGACCAACATGAAAACTCCAGACCCCAAAAGCCCCCAAACCCCAAAGACATACCCCTGAAACTCTTAACCCTCTGCGGCACCCTTTATGTTGGTCTTGCAGAGCCGTCATCGCACCCCTTGTAGATCCCTTATAAAAATCCTCCAAACCTATAGAACCCTCATAGAAAAACCCAAGCGAGCACGAAAAGCCTTACTTTTAGAAATCTGCAGACGGCCTGGCAGCTGGCGAATAATTTCTCCACCGCTTCCTCCGCTGTGCGGAGCTCCTCCATGCAGGCCAAAATCCGGAGGTTTGGGTGATCAAAGCAACTTCAGACCGCAAAAATGCAGAAAATAGAAACCCTAAGCCCAAAAGGAAAGACCCTACAAACCCCAAACGCCAAACTTTAGCAGACCTACTATGAATCCTGAAAGCCCGTTTCTTCGCAACCCCAATAGAACCCCTATGAAACCCTTTCATTCTCGGGAACCCCTACGTAAATAAGTGACCCGGAGCAATTAAAAACCCCCTATAAACCGTCCCGATACAAAGGGCCCCCAGGGTCCCTGTCGCGCCGGAGGTCGGCCACGCAGCTGAGCCATGAGAGCCAGGCCACGGAGAGGGAGAAGCCTCGTGCTTCAGGCTGGGGGAAAAGGGCGGCTTAGGCTTAGGGGTTTGATTGATATGGGACTTTCCGAGAATTCGGGGTACCTTATTTTGGGGTCCTTATGATAAGGATCCTACTATTTAGGATATTATATTAGGCTCTCAACGGCCTAAAGATCGTCTGTAGGGCGAAGGAGAGATTAGTGTCGAAGGTTTGAGGGTTTCGGACCTCAGCCTCCAGTATAAGGTGGGCCATCGAAGGTCTGTAGGATTTTGGCGGTTTTGGTGCAATCGGGTCTCAGAGTTTCGGAGTTACCGGGCTTGCGCTTGGGATGTCCGTAGCTCTTGAGGCTTTGGGGCAGAATTAGGCTTGCGGGGCCGGGAAGTTTTGGGACTTCGGGAGCAATCCGGTTGTGGGGCAGAACCGGGTCTCGGGATCTCTGAAGGCTTGAGGAGCTTTGGTGGCTTGGGGAAGGGTAATGTCGAAGCCATGCCTGCTCTTTGCAAAATGTTACGCCGCTCCGAATTCCAAGGGCTGCTCCCAAAAACCAAGTGACGGGCTCATGCACCCCCTTCCTACGCCCTAGACTCTAAACTTGAACCTAAACCCGATGTCCCGCAGGCTATCTGAGTATTTGGAGGCCCGACGGCGGCGGGGATTGAGAAGGGCATGAGAGGTGTTCAATACCACCATGAGCGGAGAACTGAATTACGAGGAGGTACCTGTGCGGCTCGAACCAGAAAGAACTGTGGCCAGAGACTGCGGTAGAAAACTAAAATTCCTCAGCTACGGATTCCACGTGAGGGAACGCATCAAGAACTGAGGACCCGAGAATGTTGGATTTCATGCCTCAACTGTGCCTGAGTGCGTCGTACAGGTGCTGGAGTGCGCGAGATATTCCTACATAGGCATAGCTCCGAGGGCGCAGCTCTACGTTCAGCCCACTGTCAGCTGACGAGAACCAGCTGACACAGGCTGGCAAAGAAGGTCCGCAAAAAAACAACACAGACTTTGGGTTTAGGGCGTCGGTACAAGGTCTTTATAGGTCGCCTGAACCCTAAATCTGACGAAGCACAACCGTTCCAAGGCCAACACACTGGGACCTCTCCACCCACGACCTGGTGCGCCACCGTTTAGGGTTGCAGGGGTTTCGGCGCGTTCGGGGAGGGCCTAGGGGTTTAGACTGGGCTTAGAATTTAGGGTTAAGTGATGCTAAGGGTTCGGGGTTTGGGATTTAAGGCTTGTATGGCTGAGATGCTAATGAGAATCATAGGGTTCTTGGTTTTTTCAGACTTGGTTTGCAAAGGCTCCACTAGGTTACAGAGACTCCCCCTCTCTCTCGTGGCTTCTCACTCTTTGTGCTATGTCAGCTCAGCACCTCAAACCTGAAACCCTGGAAGCGAAAAGGGATTCCAAATGCTTCCTGAGGATGTGACAGGAGTTTGAAGTGGGCAAGGTGTCAAGGGCCAAAGGATCGGCCAGCCGGTGGTTGCTGCTGCTGCTGCCGCTGCCGGCTTTTGTCGCTGATGTTGCTATTGTTACTGCTGCTTCTGTCACTGGAAGCCTCTAACTAGCCCAAGTTTCCAAAGCTCTAATGGGTTCCGCTCAAGCCCTGCAAGGCCCCCAAGCCCTCGGAGTTCTCACCTTCGGAAGTAGGACCTTCTCAAACTCAACTCCTCAACGCTAAACTCTCAATCCTGCATACCTCAAACCCCGAAATCCGAGGCCCTTAAATGGAGGCTTGAGATCAACCCAAAGCGCAACACCTGCAGAGGATCGATCCCGCTGCCGATGCCGACGCCGGGGCCCCTTGAAAGCTTCGGGCTTAATGAGCTGGCCTCTAAGCTTTGCGCTGTAGGGACTGTAGGGCCCTAGATATATACTCCTTAAGCCACAAGCGCTGCAGCCACCCCAAACCCTATGCGCACCCCTCACTCAGGCAGCAGAGGGTGGGACCCGAGCCAAAAGTCAAGACGAAAAGGGGAGTCTCCGTGAGCCGCGCCGTCGATATGCAAACTGTACAGAAACGGAAACCAGGAAGCACTTAAGCGTGCCCCTAAATCCTACCCCGCGCCCCGCCCGAAAGCCCAAATGGTAGGTCAGTTCTTTGAGGTGGAGCCTCCAAGCTGCTTGGAAGAGCGAGGTGAAAGTGTTGCTGCTACGATGCGTCTACACATACATGTGTGTTATTCTGTTATGCATGTTTGTGCTCTCTTCTACATTCTACATGCATGCATACTTACAGAAAAACACACATACGTGCACACACACACACACACACATCCCCCGCCTGCGTCCACTGGAGACTGCTGCGACGGTGCAAAGGGCCTGCTGAGTCATGTCCTACAGCGCCCGATATCAGGTCTCAATAAAACATGAAACCCTTACCCGACTATCCCCTTAAAGTCCCTTTAGCACAAGACCACAGCAGAAGGCCTCCTAGATCGAGACTTTGAGAGAAATGTCGTGCGACTTTGGGATCCGAGGCCGGGTGAAGCCCGCAACGCTTTCGGGAGGCCTTGTTGGGGCCGCTACTTTCCGCCAGAGGAAGAGAAGCCTCAAGATTCACCCTCTACCTGAAACCCTAAACCCTAAACCTGAATCCTCAGCCGTTCCAAAGCCTGAACCTGGACCCTGAGCTTTCCACCCCCCCAAACCCCAAATCCCAAAAAAAGGCCCGAGAAGGCGGGTTTGCTCCAAAAGGCTCAGTGACACTATAACTATGTCTTATGGTGCACCCGCATAGTGTCTATGCTTTCTTCTAGTACCATGTTCCCATATTAGTAATTGTTAAGCGAAGACTAATTTAACCCCTAAACCTGAACCCCAAGCTCTAAACCCTAATCCCTAAGCCCCAATTACTGTAGCCCCGAGAACCACCAGGAGATCGTTCCCGAGCGCCTCTGCGCAGCCACTGCCCGCCAGCTGCGTAGCCAAGGCCACAGTCTCAGAAACATCGGTTTAGGGTTTAGGGTTTAGGGTTTAGGGTTTAGGGCACGAAACCCTTAGAATGCAAGAGGGTTTGAACCTGAGAGTCGGGATTTGACGGGGCATGGGAGGCTATGCCAAAAGAAGTATAATGTAAAGGGATGCTGCTATACTGATATCTACTCCTTCTTCCGACCCCGACATTTTGACATTATCCAGAAAGCCCAAACCCTAAACTCCCACGCCTGAGTTGAATCCACATAGCCTCGGCCGGAAACCGAAACCCGGCTGCGTATAAGCTTATCCCAACGAGACTCTGACGCGTGCGGGTCGTTTTGAGTTCACAAGCCCTAGGTCGCAGCGTAAAAAGGTTTTGTTTGCAGGTTGTGGGTACACAAGTGTCACAAGAGACTTAGGATTCCTGGATGATGCTGTTGAAGCATCGTCGCTAAACCCTATATATGCGGAAATACTTGAAACCAAAACCCTCAAACACAGGCCAGCCTGAGCCCTAAACCCGCAACCCTGAAGAATTCCCCCAGGTGGCCCACTGGTGCCGGGAGGTTGCAAGACGCTCACAGCCTGGGCTTCGATGCGATGCGGTAACTGCTGCTCTGAGGCTTAGAGCTTACATTAGGGATTCTTACGCGTTACACGGGCCAGGGTTCTATAGGGGTTAGCATTTTACTCTAAGGCTTGGGATTTGGGGTCTAGGGCTTGCTATTATGGCATAAGAAGTACGATAAAGATGACAACAAGCGTTGCTGCAAGCAAGTGTCAACACGCCCCTTTTTCTCGATTCAAGCTCTTGGGGTTGGCCCGAAGCTATCCGACCCAGTTGTCTGTGCCGTTGCTCATGTCTTGTTTGGGCAAGTCGCGACACACAAAGTACTACGTAATCACTAGGCTTCTCTTACGTGCCCTCCCCCCATGAAGTGCGCCTGTTTCTCGAACGTGCACTGGGCCAAGGTCGGAGGGGACGTTGCACTGGCCGTGCTTGTGGCGACCGAAACAGACCAGTCGAGAGTCCTCCGTCACGGCACAGGTCATGGATTCGCCGGCAGCCACCGCCACGACGGGGCCCAGGTTTCGGGGCACCGCACATTGGCCGTAGAGGTTGCTGCCAAAACATGTGAGCCGGCCGCTGCTAAGCAACACACAGGTGTGCAGAGCCCCGGCCGCCACGGCCTTGGCACGGCCAAGCTTCTTGGGGACCTCGCACTGACCGTCGTCTCGGAGACCAAAGCACCAGAGCGATCCATCCGCCGTAATCACACAGGTATGAAAGGCTCCGGCTGCGACGGCCACAGCACCACGCAGTTCGGCTGGAACCCCACACTGACCGTACTCATTGTCTCCGAAACACACCAACTGCCCATCGGCCTTAATGGCACAGGTGTGATGCATCCCTGCAGCCACAGCGACCACAGGTCCCAGATTCGGTGGGATGTCACACTGGCCATATCGGTTGCCTCCAAAGCAGACAAGCTCCCCACCCACGCGGATGGCGCAGGTATGGTCCCTGCCTGCGGACACCGCCAGCACAGGGCCAAGGTCCGAAGGACTGCGGCACTGTCCGGCATAGTCGTGGCCAAAGCACACCAGCTCGCCGTTAGCTTTGACAGCGCAGGTGTGGCAGTTTCCCGCTGAAACGGACAAGACGCGGCCGAGGCCGCAGGGCACACTGCGCTGCCCGTAGTCTGTGTACTCCCGGAAGGTATCCCCGAAGATGCTCAGCTGGCCTCCGACGGTGATGGCGCAAGTGTGGTAGCTGCCAGCTGCCACGGAACATCGCCGCATCTTGAGCTTCAGGCAGGGCAAGACGAAGGCGTCGATGACGCAGGCCATGACGCCCAGGTGCCTGAACTGCCTCTTCTTCAGGTCTACAAGGATCCAGGCCAGGTGGTGCAGGTCTCTCTCCAGCACCATCTGCCGGCCTCCGAGGCAGATTGCCATGGCCTCGAGGCCAAGGCTTGGGGCGGCTGTGCCCAGCTAGGAGGGCGCCCAGGAATCACCCGACAAGAACAAGTCCAAGACACACCTCTAGCCATGTACTATAAGTCTGTAAGAAAATAAGGATATATAGATATACATATATATATATATACATATACATATACATATATATATACACATATACATATACATATACATATACATATACAGATACATATATATATATATACACGCTTATGACGCCCCGTCGCAGCCTCTGAGCTTCGGGTCGACCGCTTCCTGGCACCTCCCTGGGGTAGCACGAGCCCAAACAGGTGCGGAAGCACAAGGATGTGCAGAACATGGGAGACAGGGAAGCTGGGCCTCAGTCCTTGTCGCAGATCGGAGAGGTAACATTTTACTGGGGAGTGCCAGCTAAGCTAAGCTAGTCTGTCTACTCTAATGGTTTCTTGGGTCTACTAGCTTCTTGCGATATCCCAAGACTCCTGAACCCCGACCTTCCCCTCCCTAAACCCTGAGCCCCCCTACTCTAAACCGTAAGCCCGTGTCAGAAGATGCTGCCCGGCAGCGCTTCAGGGACTTTTCGCGAACCTCGTGCGCGGCGCAGGCCTCCAGTGCAGATCAATCGTGGTTGAGTTGTGCGTTTAGGGTTTGGGGTTTAGGGTTTAGGGCTTCGTGATTTGAGTCGTGGGTTTAGGGTTTGGGGTTGGGGGGACACTGCCGATCACCACCAGAGTCCATTCTTGTGACGTGGAAATCCGATGCGAAGAAAAACCATCGTAAACGTCCTAATAATACTAAAAAAAGTATATTCAACAAAAAGCTCAGGTCCGTTGGTCTTCTACAGAAAGGCTGGACAAGGCTGGTGGCTAGCAGTCGTCACTTTGGAGTCTACTGGAAAAATCCTGGGTAGTTACACAACCAGTAGCTATAGTTGTAACTACATGCAGCCTCAACAAAGGCCCTGGTATCATCCGCGTATCGTTTTTTCTGCCCAGGATTCTTTTTCGGGCGTCCCAGAAGAGTTCCCTTCCTGGCAGATTTTCCTCTGACCGGGACTGGAACCAAGCCCAAGCCATTGCCTGCGCTTTTCGGGTTAGTCGCTCAGAGCCTGGGTTATCGACGGCTCTGGATTTTGGGCTGAACAGGACACCCAGACAAAATGGGACGCCCCTTTCCTTCCCTAAAGTCTACACCTCAATACTCGCCACCCCAGCCTTGGCCCAGTGCAGCCGCGAGGGGCGCGGCCCCCGCCTGCTTTCTGACGCCAGCGAGGCCACCTACAAGGGACGACGCTTTGGGCCTGCACTTCTCGATGTAGAAATGCGGAAGCATTTCTTCGCGAGCTGTGTATCTGCGTTTCGACATCCTGCATGACCCCTGCTGAAGCAGACAAGCCTTCCAGCCAAGGAAAGCATTCGGCAGCACATCGCTGTCTCCGTCCATGGGTACACGAAACCACACAAAAGCCTAAGACTAAGATCATGAAGACTGAAGCTGAAGACCCACGGTACATAATCCTCAAGCTCGAAAGAACCCCACAAACAGCTTTACATTGCCGAAGGCCTTCAAACGTGAGCTAGCCAGTATAGAGGCTTGGAATGACTCCTGCAACCTTCTGACATCTTTCTGCTTGGAAGCTCGTAGTCGTAGCGTGCTTCCCGAAACAGGGTTATCCGACTTGCAGGCGCGGTCTACGGCTCAGGGTGCTGGGCTCGGGTTTTGGATGATACGGGCCAAATAACGTGTGCTGAGTCGGATGCAGAGAACTACTTGTGGAGAAGGCTGTGCATCGAATTCCAGCTGTGGGCAGCGACAGCGAGCTGAACGACTGTAATGCTGAAGAAGTTCTCATTGATGAGATGACATCAATGCTGGCAGCGTGTGCCCATCCTCTCGTCTGGCACTTCTATGTAAACATGCTCTGCCATGTAGATGATAAGGCCTTCGCATGTGACCAACGATTCCACAAACAACATCCGCCCGTGAACGTCACAAAGCGTCATGCCCTAAACCCTAAACCCTAAACCAGGATCATCATGAAGGGCAAACCATCTCGTCCTCCATCAGCGCTTCCCTCTCCTCCTGGTTGCTGGGGGCTGATTCCCAGAGGTTGGTGGGCTTAGGGCTTGGGTCCACGGATTTGGTTTGGGTCTAGGTTAAGGGCTTACAAGTAATGAAGAAGTAGCATACCGCGAAAGTCATATATATATATATATATCGCACTCTAAACCCCAAACCCCAAAAATCCTAACCTCAGCAAGAAAAGTCGAATCATCTCCAAAACCAAGATCTATGTCGCACCCCCCACCCCCACCTCCACCAACAAAAAGCAATCAACGAAAGACATGCAGCAGCATAAACCCTGAGACGTTAACCCGAAAAAACTGTATAGCTAGCTACACGGCCAGTGATAGCAGCAACAGCCCTAAGAGAAACAGCCATAGTGGCCGTGAGGCATAACAACAGCGGTGATGACACGGTAACACCTCAACAATAGCTACATTTGCTGCCAAAACATGCAAGACAAAAGCCGTTAACCCAAAACCTTAAGCCCAAACCCCTGAGCCCGAAACCCTGAACTCAAACCCCCGAGCCCGTCGGAGACATCACTAAGCCCACCGTCTAGGTTCCTAAAAAAGGAGTCTTTGTGGGATCTAACAAAGCTACACGGCAATCCAAAAGGTAGGATGTCGCGGAGATTGCTTGATATAAGGCCTTGGGTTTTGTTTCAGGTTTAGGCGTTTGAGAGTTTAGGCTTTAGGGCTTCCCTTTAAACCCTAAACCCTGAATACTGAACCCTAGACCCTAAAGACCCTTAACCCTAAGCCCTGCCCTAAACCCTGAACCGAAGGGGGTTCAAGGCCCCGGATCCTCGGAGGTGGAGGGCAGATGGTTGTAGGCATCTTCCAGGCGCCTGGTTCGCGGACTTTCGGCTCCTTTTCCGGGATCCTCTAAGGGTTCCTTTAAGGGCTCCTTTAAGGGCTGAAGGGTGCTGTGAGGTTTACCGGGTACGATAGGGGTTCTAGAGTGGGGTTTCTGGAGTTTGGGGGATTCCGGGTTGTGGGGATTCAGGATTGAGGCTTTGGGGTTTTAGGGATTCAGGGCTCCAAGTTGGAGGTTGAAGGATTTATGCTCAGTGTTTAGGGTTCTGGGCTTTGGGGTTTGGGGCCCAAAGTCATGTAGTCTTTCCGGGTTCAATCTGTGTGGGGTTTAAGTGAGTTCTTGGGCTTCTGGTGTTAGACTTGACCCTAAACCTTAGACCTTAAACCGTGAGGTTTGCTTCAGGGCCTGGGGCCTAGGGTGCTCAGAAATCTGCGTGTACCTGCGGCCTTCGATTGCAACACCAGAGGAGCTCCACGATACAATGGAGAAGTTCATGTACAAAACACCAAGGCAGCCTAAACTAGGACTCCCCTGCAAAACACCCTTACAGTCACCTGCCGTAGAGTCTCGGACAACCTGCAAGTCTCTGGCGAAAAGAACGGCGCCTCTGCGGCGAGGTGAGGTAGGTCCTCCGCAGTTTGAGGGACCGTAGACAGGTTTGGGGTTTTGGATTTTAAGGTTTGGCGTTTTACCGTTGAGAGGCTATGGTTCCGTGCTTGGGGTTGGGGGTCGAGGACTTCGGGCTTAGGGTTGAAGATGCCTGGCTTACGATCCCGCAGCCGAGCTACGCTGTAACTCCGAAAGACACAAACCCCAAAAACCAAAAAGACTCCGACTGTCCCGCCGCCACCCCGCCCCCCCCCAAAAAAAAAAAAAATAATAATAATAACTGATACCTCAAACATAGCCTAAGCCCTGCTGAAACCCTTTCTCTAAACCCTCAAACCTTGAAGCCCTAAGGCCCCAAACCCACATTCCTGCGCCAAGCCCACTTTGACCAAGGCCCTGGCACCGGGACTTTCGACGGCGCACTCTGGGCTCTGCCGTTGACCAGCGGGTTCTGGCCTCGAGGGGTTTAAGGGTTTACGGGTTGGATTAATTGAGGGCTTAGGGCTGGGTATTGCAACCGGTCGCCTTGAACTCCACAGTCGTCCAACCCTGGACCCTAAACCCAAGATCAAGCCCTGAAACCCTAAAACCTAAGCCCAACATCAAGCCCTAAACCCCAAAGACTCACCTGGGCGCCCTGCTGCGCGAGGCTACCGAGGCGTAGGCCACCGAGGCCTGGGGGGGCCAGCAAAATCCACATCAGATTACCACAGGCTCTTCAGGGTTCAGGGTTTAGGGTTTAGGGCTTTTAGGGTTTAGGGTTTAGGGTTTAGGGTTCAGGGCACCTGCTCAACTGACTGAAAAGCAGGCCGGCCCCCAAGCAAAACTCGGCGAGGCTTCCGAAGAAAGAACCTACACCCCAAACCCTAACCCTATTCTCCGAGCTGCCACTCGTTACTACCCACTAAGCATCGCGCCTCGTACGGGCTCAGCTTCTGCTTCATCAGCTGGCTCTGGATCTCATCAGGCGCAAGCCTTGACTTCGCACGTTTCCAGAGCTCCGTGCACGAGTATCCAGAAACCCTACGCTTCAGGGTGCGGGGCCCTGTTTCGGTTGTAGCTTTCAGCGGTGTTGGGTTCTGGTGTTTTGGGGCTCTTCAACTCTAAACCCTGAGCCCCTAAAACCTTGTAACCCATGAGCAGACCCCCCAAACAGAGCACGAGCCTGGGCGCACATTCGCTGCCGTTGCCGGCTGCCTGATCCGCGAAGGTCCAGCTCTAGGGCGAAAGCCACTATCAGAATTTGTTCATAGATTATGGGCTACTTTTCATCTAAACACTCAAGGGTTTAAATGTCTTTTAAAAACCCCGATTCAGGGGTTTATATGGCTTAGGTCTCAGAGCCGTGGAGCTTCGAGGTTCAGGGTCCGGGCTTTTGGCTTGGGCAGGCTGCAATGCTTTAGGAGAGCTGCTCGAGGCCTAGGGTCAGTGCAAACTTGGTGCTTCTTGGGTTTGGGGGGTTAAGCTTTCGAATCCGAGACCTCTTCTTGGGCTTAGGGTTTAGC